ATGTTTTCTAACTGAGAAAATATTGCAGTATTTTTCTTAGGTCGTATTGGGAATGGAAGATTAGCCAAACAAATTATTCCTCCTGATGACTTTTAAAAAAAAACTTTTATCATGACTCCAATCATTTGAACATAAACTCAATCTAAACAAAAAGTTCAGTCCACATGAGCATAATTTACAGGAAATTAGGTAAACTGCATACTTTAGAACAGGGAGATAAAGCAGTGCAAATCTCCAGTCTGCCTGACACCAACATTTGTATTCATATATAGAACATCTCTGAATATTGTCGGAAAATATTCATTGCTAGGCTGTATTGTGACAAAAAAAGCCTGTTACCCTTGATGCATAGTCTGCATGCGTCATATGGAAACAAATATATTCTGTACGCTCACAGGTTCTTGAACTTTACTCTTCCAGAGCATTCAAAATGTTCTCAACTAAAAGGGTATTCTATTCTATTCTATTCTATTCTATTCTATTCTATTCTATTCTATTCTATTCTATTCTATGTGCATAGATCTTCTTTGCTACACACCATAATCATGATGGATGTAATTTTTTACGACTTAATTGTGGCTCAGAGCCATGTGTTTGTGAGAAAATTTACATTTATGGCAGTTTTGTTATTATGATATATGTGATGTGATTTGTGCATGCAGAGTCCAAGTATGGTTGTAAAACCTGGGCCCACTTCTATGCTGTATCAGTCTTAATGAGAGGGTTCCTGCCTAAAGGTATGACATCTCCTCCAGATTTTTCTCTTGCATGTCTGTTTCATTTTGTCTTTTATTTCCACTTACTCTGCCTCAAACTCCCTGCAACCATTAAGCATCTCTCCATGTCTGACTCGCTCATTTTAGCACTCTGCATGTGCTCTCTTTTAGAGCCCTTCCATCTCTTGCTCTCCCAGGCATCTTTCTGCTTTAATGAAACAGATGTCCCTTCATTAATAAAGACCTGGTCTACCATAGTAATGAAGGAATGAGCAAGAGAGGAGAAGAGGAAGACCTGAAGATGAAATGCAAAGTATTTGTGTGTGCTAAAGCTAGAACCAAACACATTACATCAAACCCCCTCGAACAGAACGGAACCAAATACAAAACAAAAACATAACACCTAAATACTGAGCTGAATGGTGCAACAAATGTCATAGCTACACACGGACATCAAGAAATTGATTCTGCAGCCAAATCCAACGAGCTGTATACCCAGGGCTGGTGCACAGAGTGAATCTCTCATGGCCAGTGATGTGCACAGTCGCTAAAGAAAATGCTCAGTTAGTTTCAAGGAGAGTTTAAGCAGCATCCCGTTGTGCTCTCACCTCTTTTCCCACATGCTGGGGCTTACCAGCTGTTCTTCCACTCTCACACCACCACAGACACTTTGCAAACATGGACACAAATTTGCAAGCAAATGCAGAGATGCTTGCTTACACATGCACTCGCAGATGCATCAGAATGATGGCACAAGTTCACACTTTTAACGCTCAGCTTGAGCTGTCTGCTATTAATCAATCCAGATTTAATTGTAAAATCCTCATAAGGCCAGACAAGATCATATCAGCCAGTAAACTAAAGAAAAAAAGCTAGGTGAAAGTGTTAGGCTGAGGAAAATAAAGACCACAAGGTCCAATCCCATGTTGATATCTTATGCAATCACTTCTCATCTAAGCCAGATATAATTAAATTCTCACTGGCTTTGTTGTCTGAAAGCTGACTGCTACTGCTTGCTTATTTAGTATGTTTTGTTTCGGGTTTTTTTGTACGCGTCATATCCAGTCGGCAACACTTCTGTTAAATGTTATCATCAGCTGTGAAAAACATTTATCACATAACCAAGACAGGGCAAATAATATGTCAACTTTTTAGAAACGCAATGAACAAGGTTTCCTTTTTCTGAGTGCCACAGAGTCTTTTAAAGCTGCTCTGGGCTGATTACACTAAGAATCCTCCACACTCACTCTTCATTTGATCATTAAGCCAGACTTGTCCAAGATGGTAATTTCGAAACGAAAATAAGAGCCACTAAGAAAAGTTCACCCAGTACGGGCTAATTGACAGAGGGTACTGACATCTATATTGGCTCATAGTTGAACACCGACTGGGTCCGATAATAAAAAAATAAAGAAATATAAAATAACCATTTTAGTGTACCTACTTTAAACATGTAGTTGTGCCTAACCAACAAATGTCATGAAGGGAACCCCCCACCTCCCAAGAACAAAGTATCATTGTTATGATTCATTTGTTTGTTTTTTTCAGACATATCTGACAAGCATTTAAATGCTGCATGGTGTGTAAAGTGCTATTCAAGTGATTTAGATTTAGTGGCAAATTTGACTTGCAATGACTCCTGACACCCAACTGTGCCAACAGTACACTGCAATCAAAGCCATGAAAATCACCTGCCATCAATCAAAACGGCAAATCTGTGGCTTCACTCAGCATGAATTACTTGTGTACAAGTAGTTAAGACATGGAAAGTACTGCTGAGTCAAATTCATTAGCTAGTATAAATCAAAAGAGAGCCATGCACAGCATATATAAGCATGATAAATGCAGATTAGAAATAAACACAAGACAATGAGCACTTAATTTATGGCTATTCTAGTGACATCAGACCTGACATTTTAAGATTATGAAAACATTTCACAGGGTATTATAAGATGGGCTTTGAGGTTGCGGTCCAGGTTAACAAATGTCCCTATGAATAGCTTAAGATGTTTAAAGCTGATTTTTCCAATTTGCACTTATCATCCTGGAACCTTGTAAAAACAAATCAGACAGCAAACCTGAAATGTTATAACTTTTGGTTTTGTTACTCTCAGAACCTGCTTTAATCAATGCTTCACTTAGTAAATAATGGAAACAGGATGTCAGCCAGCTGAGGTAGCTGCCTCGTTATAGTCAGTCTTTGCCTCTTTCTTTTTCTCCTCTTTTGCTGTATCCCCAATCATTCTATCAAACTCTACAGTTGAAATTAGATTTTCATCTCCAGGAGGAAAGGAGGAGGGAAGAGGAGACTTGGCAGGGAAGAGAGAGCCACTTGAGAGCACTGACACCTACACAGAATTAGAATGCTTTGGATTACACCCATGAGGTCAGATTTACCATAACGAAGGTAAATCAAATGTTCAGCTCACTTGATTGAAGAGAGAAACAGGCAAGGCAATGAGCAGTTAGATAAATGATGGATAGATGCCAGGGGGAACACACAAACCTGGGCGAGTTGGGAGCTTATCTCTTCCTAGAGGGCAAACAGGCCATAGCAATGTCTGTGACCTGCCACACTAAATCAATCAATAACAAAAAATAATGGAAAGCTGAAAAAGAGCAAGATATCAATATGGATTTCATGTCTTGTTTCTATAACGGCACCCTACACAACAGATCTAATAAAAAATATTGGATATCTAGGTGAAATGCAATAAAACTAAATTGAAAATTGTGAGATAGCAATAATCAGGCCCAGGTTTGAGAAGCCACCCATCTCACACACTCATACCTGTTGCCTTCCTCCGTCATACTGTGCTGCTTACTGCTTCCGGACAAATGGAGGTAGACATGTACAGATGGAAAAACATAAGAAAAAACACAAAAGACAAGTCGTAATGAGATGAGTCATGTTGAAAATGAGCATACCAAACACACACATGAATACAGCATAAAAGCAGGGATGAGAATGTGGGAGCACACAAAGGAGCACAGAAATGATATTGGGCAGGAAACAGCTCGTCTAAGTTCGGTCACAAAAATGGCTGATCAGATGAGAGCATTCTTAAAATGAGTAGTTGTCATCTCTCCATCGTGTAGTCCTAATAAACAGTATAAACATTTAAAAGTTTTTTGCGCAATAACTTTCATTTTGGAATAAAACTATGTTAAGTATTTTATTTAGCTAAATAAAACATGCACAGACGCTAAAAATTCTTGCATTTATAACACAGAATCTGTCCCCATAGCTACTGACACAACGTAAATGTTTATTTGCAACAAAACTAAAATCTCAGCAGTAGACACGTCTTGATAAGAAATTATGTGCACCTTCACCTTACCAAACAGAAACATGTCCTCTAAGAAGAGCGTCCACACATAATCGCACTACAAACAGCCATTAAAAATGCATCAATTGTAAGAGGAGATAGGAGAAGAAATTGATTTCAGTAGAGGTAATGGTGAGATGTAAAAGGGGTGAACTACAGAGAGAGAAAGAAGAACAAAAAGCAGCACCACCTGGAAAGAATGCAAAAACAGTAGGAGGACTGGAAAAGGGACAATGGAGAACAGAAGCAGACAGAAGGGGGATCAAAGAGCAGGATGAGAGAATAACAAGTGGAGACAATAATTCACGTAAGGATGTTTTCTAAAGAAGACTCACACTCTTCTTATGCATGCTAAGTAGTGTGTGAGTGCTTGAAACTTTATGGCACAGCCTCTAATATTCTGCAAAGAACACAAACATGCTGAATCCGATCAGATACATCAAACCAAACCAGCCAGGTTAAAAAGATTTCCAGACATAACCAAAACTATTATTGTCATTTTGTCATGCCATACACTACTGATCATTATAAAACTCAAAATAATTTGTTTGCCACAAACAAATAATAAACATTAAAAAAAATGCTGGTGGTTTTCATAATAACCCAGAGATTAAGAAGATTTTTAGAAAACAAAAGGGGTTGGAGTAGTCAGAATACATGGCTTAAAAGACTTCAGGAGTGGTTTGCATGGACAACTGGATACCTGTAGAACACGGTATGAATACATTTGTTAAACAGCCAACCAGCACAGCCAATTATATCCTACAGTCTTTTTACTTCACCTAACAAACAGACAAGATTACTTAAAAATATCACTTAATGATATTTAACTTTCATCTATGGACATAATCTGTCTGATACGTTATTCTTTCTGACTATGTGAACTAAAACTGCTATAATTATCAAAAAAGCATTCAGTTCTTGTTCCTTTCAGCACTTCATTTGCCAATTACACCGAGTTCCGCTCTGGTCTTGGAGTGACAAATGGCATTCGTTTCTGTTTTGACCCTTAAAAACAGAAATGAAAAAAATATTGTAGAATCTGCCATTAGAGGTGAGTATTCATCTAATGAATGCATTGAAAGATACACCATCAGGAAAGCCAACCGGTCTGCGTAGTGATAATATTCAAAGGGAGAAATAGTATAAGCTTTGAGTGCTCAAATTTAAGGGTGCAAAGGTTAAAGTTTTACAATTAGACTGAACTCTACTTACAAGCATGGCCAGTTAGCAGTAGTCGTGACATATTTAATACTTTCAGAGTAGCAAATTGTGCATTGAGGATGGGAGGTAGTATGAATTTCTGATGATTTGCGAGTAAATGCAAAGATGCTTTCACAAAGGTATCAAACCAATCGCTAATCATCGGCCGTTCACTTGCAATATGCCTGATGCAGGCAGAGGAAATTCTATAAATAAGCCAAATATAATTTCTTTTTACGTAAAGAAAATTAACAAGGAATGAGGAGGTGAGGAAAGTAAAAACAGGGATGCCTCTTGACACCTGATTTAAAATGTTAATCTGGTCTTGACCTTTTGGAAAATATCTAAAGGGGATAAGTGCCAGCAGAAGCACACACATGCCGGCTGAAAACCCTGAGCCCAGTGGTGATGCTAACCCACTACTCGTATATCATTTTCATTCCATAAATACGTTGCTTGATACTGCTAGCTGAGTGAGAAAAAAAATTGTTTTCATTCCAATGAAGGGCTGGGGAATGAAAAGTGTTGGGTTAAAATGAGAGAAAGACAAGATGACAACCTTTCTGAGAAGGAAAGGGGGCCGAGAGGGTCTCTCTATTCATTTATTACAGATGAGAGAAGTTCGGTTAGCATATGACACGCACCTGAGCACGACTGCATGCATGATGTGGCTCTGCAGCTTTCACAGTTTGTTCTGCTTTCAGCCATCTCTACTTTCATTGTACAGTGACTCCACTCCTCCTTTCTGCTCCGTCAAACGTTCCTCATTTTTCACCCCTTCATCTTTACACACTCCTCTGCCAGGGTAAATGTAGATTAATCTCCTTAATTCTTTACTTCTGAAGCTGTGTCCCACCCTTTGGCTCTCCCTAACTTCTATTTCCTTTATAAAGTCACATACTTGCCTTTTAATCTCTGTATTTTGTTTATTACTATAGGTTCTTTAAGGAGCTGTAGACACTAAACTGAAAGACTGAGCTTTCTTTTCAAAATTCCTCCTGTATTTAGTTTGGCTATAAGCTGAAAACTTATTTTCCTTACTTCCTCTCCCTTTCCACCTTCACAGCCTCCCGCTCTCTTTTGTTCCTCTGCCCTCTCTGTCACTCTTATCCCTGGCCTTCTCAAATCCTTTTTTTCAAAACGCTGTATCCTTCCAGTCTCCTTCTCCCTTCCTTCTGTCCCGGCTCCCGCCTACTCTGGTGTACCCATTGTCATTGTTCAAATAATTATTTATTAACGTGTTTATGTCACCGCCTTCCCTGTCTGTCTGTCGCTGCCATCTGTGCCCAGTTAGGTGCCTGCCTTCCTGCGCTGCTATGTCCTGCCCGTAGGGGGAAAAAGCCACACACGGGGGCACAGATCGGTGATTCCCACACAAACGTGGACGAGCAAAGTCACACACGCGCTTCTTCTGGTGACAGTGCCCACTCTCCCTCTGTCCTGCCCCTGGGGCTAGGTGGGGTTAGCAGGGAGGCGAGGCGCACAGCGGTGGCTACCACAGTCCCTTCTGTCCTGTCCTCTTTACTTTGTTCCCGTCTGTCAGCACTACATACGAAAGAAGGTGGTGGTGGTAGCAGTGTTACCTTCATAAACTTATTTTGAGGACACAGCGAGCAGACTTAAGGAAATCTACATGCAGATGACCAATAAATGTTTCATCAACTTTTGAGGACCAAGTTCTTATTAGTATTCTGCTCTTGAGATGTAAAAAGGTAAATGGTGGGGGCTGTTGACAATGCTCACCAGCAGCAGGCTGTGCATCCTTCACCTCCACAAGATCCCAATTTCGGCATGAAGTGGTTATTCGGTGTTACATGAAGGGATATTTTATTTACCACAACATATGGCACAGTGATCCATAGCATGCTGATGCATCCTGAACCATTCACAGCATGTAGCAATATGACAGAGAGGGGTGTGGCAGGAAAGGCAATAAGAGAAGAAAGGAAACCCAGAGATAAGCTAGAAAACACACGGAGGGGGTGGATGTGGTGGAGGTGGTCATAAACAGAGAGGAAACCAGGGAAAGCCTATGGGGCTTTGAAGGGGCTGTGATCGTGCATCCTGGATCTCAATAAGTAAACAGAGCAAATACTCTCCATCTCCTCTCCTCCTTCACTGCTTGTCTCACAAGTCATTCCAAGTCCCCTGCCGTCCATTCCCTCAACATGATCTCTGTCTTCTGGCTTCTACACTTCTTGGCAGATCACCTTTTTCACGCCCTCCACTTCCCTCAACAACATACTCTTTCCTCTCTTATGCACCATTTCTCTCAGAATTCTTTCACTTTTACTTCACTATCGCTACTTAACTTTGTACTTCACACTAGGAGCTAACAAATCTTCTCAGTTTTGGTTGTTGTCTGTGTGTGGAGATAATTAGAAGTGTTAACTTCCCCTCTAAAGAGAAGGCTTTGTGGTAGGCTGCCAGAGAGGCTGGTCTAGGTGGACTTCATCGAGGAGTCTGAGGTAGTGCGAGTACTTCCTCAGGGAGTGTTCCTCATTAGGTGGAATGGTCCACAAGAGAGCACGTACAAACTGTGTATATATGTGTCTGTTTGAGTGCCTCTGTCTATAATTAGGAGTCACAGTGAGTAGCACGGTGGATCACAGTTAGATAAGTGCTCTGGCAGCAAGCCAATATCAGAGAAAAGTCTCCGCCACGCACACACAAACATACACACACACTCCCACACTGACAACTCCCACTTCTGTGGTTCTCATATGACAGAGCAGAGTGGCTGATGGAGATGAACTGGCCTTAGTTTCCCTCAGAAAAGAAAAAAAACACCTGTAGATGGCACAGGCCAGCTGAATAAATCAAGTTTTATCTTGAAAACATCCATCTCTAGCTGGAAAGCACATTCACAGATGCAAACACCCACACACCTGCACTTTCTCATCGGCCTGTCAACGCCGGCCAACACTGTAATCAGAACCAGCATAAAGAATATAGAATCAAAGATGTCATACTGCCACATATGCAAGCATGTGCACAAAAGTGTTCGTAGCAGGGAGCAATTCTTGCCCCCTTTCAACTTATAAACAAGTGCAAAATGCATACACAACATGCCGTCTGCATCTGAGTAAAGAAATCTTTCATCTCGGTATGACTGCTAGTGGCCAGGCTTGAATACCCACACACAGAGAAAGAGGAAGTCTCTCTATCACTCCCTCCACCTGCTACCCCTTCCCACTATGTCTGTATCAGTGGACCACCTGTGCCACACACACACACACACATATGTATTAACATAACTACTCGCGCTGCTAGCTGCAGATGTATGCTTCACAAGGCACTTAATCACAGTCAGTGCATTTACAATTCAAATGAATTCTTAGAGGCCCCAGTGTGCATGGAGAGTCTTGTGCAGGGCCTTTATGGGGTGCTAAAAAATACTTCATTCTAATGTCACTGTATTTTATTTTCAGTCGGAGTTCTGAATGTCTCTGACATCATCTGCAGCTTTATGAGTTACAGGCTTCCGATTTATCCCTCAGAGCCCTTCTATTTGTTTGGAGGGTCCGATATCTTTTGCCAATCCAAGACAGAGGACTGTACCCGTAAATGGTCCAAAAATAAATGTGTGTGACCGAATTCCATTTTAGCAGTGGGAAAAAAAACACAACAAAAACAAATTAACTTCCTAGAAACAAACAGAAAGCATTCTCCCCAGAATAATTAGAAACTGAAATGGGATGTGCACAGCCCAACACTTGACAGCTCTGCAGCTGGTGCCCAAAACATGATCTGTAACCAACTACTGAGCACTGCTGATGTTGGTTTAGTCAAGTGTCTACACGGCGCCTTCATGAACCACAACCACAGCTTGTTGTGCTAAACTATTCATGTTTTTTTTATTTGACAAAACCCTTCTTTTTCAAATAACTTTCATTTTTAGGAGCAGTATTAAAAGGGACGACCTGTTAATATTTGTCCTGTTTGAATATGAAGAATGAAATCAACCTTTAATCTTCAAAGAGGTGGCATCAGTATTGCTATGGAACACGGCCACTGTCTTTGTATTTCAAAACGGTCAGAATTAATGTCGGTGATGTTTGGCGCATGCATAAATGGATGTCTTATTTTGGATCAAGTGTCTACTGGACATAATAAAAACAACATCAAGAGGCATCGTTGGCTGCAGCACTCCGCCGCAGAGGTTACGACTTGATTTCACCTTGTTAAATGAATTAAGTTGATCTTATTAATGTGGTTTGCGCAGCAACAAGTTCAAAAGTGACAAATAATTCAACAGTGCAGCATTACTGTCAACACTCACAAAGTTTAATGAGCAAATTTACCACCTCAGGACCAAGCCCCCCCCACGTTTAAAACGCATGCATGCACAAAAAGGCACGAGGAGATTTTTTTTTTGCTTGAATGTTGGTTTTAAAATAACTCAGGAGCAAACACATAAAGACAAGCACACAAACACAATCAACAGAGGGGTGAATGTGCATGGGTGCCCTTGTGTAAATGGAGCAAACAAATGTCCATCTAATGGCTCTTACGGTCTCTTTACGCCTTAACCTTCAACACAGGGGTCAGTTCAGAAGCGCCAAAGTAGTTATTTTCTAAGTTGAGGTTAACATTACATGTGTCCTTTCAGCAGAAACTTTTTTGTTGTTCTGTGCATGTATTATGTGAATATCTGTGCCAACAAATACTGGTGAGTCTGTGTTATGCTGGGGGAGGGTTGACGGGAGGATCAAGACGGTTTGGACGAGGTCAGAGTTCACTGTGGTTGATCAAACACCGGACGTGTTGTGACAAGGGAGATTGCAGTTCAAAGTGCCATGGCAAGCAAGGTTAAAGTTTGTATAAGGACAGGAAGGGGAAGGCAAATACACTGCATTCAAACATCATACTCTGAGTCCTACAGCATGCTCCACTACAGTCCAGTACAGGCTGGGTAGGTATGCAGGGAACAGACATTTAAAAGGGTGGACTTTTTAGGCTTTCCTCCCCAAAGGTATTATTATTTTTTCATTTCTGTACACCCCTGTGAAATAAAATTTCATGTGGGGTGCCTCATATGAAAGGCTTCTTTTGTATAGCCTATATGTAAGACTACAACACAGTCTTGTTGGAATCCCTTTACCAATTTTGGTAAGGATGTAAAACCCCAGTCCTACAGATTTTTAGACATTTTCCTGCCTCTACATACCTGATTCTGGTTAAATGGATATTTGAAAAACATCTTAACCTCTGCACTGGCCTGCTAACATTCCACTGATGTAATTGAGGTGTATTGAAGCAGAAAAACATCTAAAGCCTGAAGGACAGTGGTCCTGACTTAAGTTGGACACAAACCATTCTTCGTTAGAATTCTTATCTCATCAATAAAATGTAAAATACTGGGATGGGCTTTTTGATTCATTTGAATGTGCTTAAATCCTAAATGGGCATTTAATAACTTGAATACCCTGTGAACATTGTTCACGAAGTCAAAACCTGTTATTTTTCATTATTATTGATCTATTACCAAATTGAGCTGAACACTGAATTACAATACAGAAAACAATTGAGTGACTGATATCTTAATAGTTAGTTTTTCCCCCCAGTCTTACAGAAATATAAAGATAATATTATTTTTGTAGCAACTTCCAACAGAGAGTGTTGTTTCGTTTCTCAACTTTAAACAGAAACTCGATTATCTTAGATCCAAAACCTTTCTAGGTCACCATCCATTCGGGCAGGATTAGCTTCTTTGTGTACATTAGGCAGCATTCTCGTCTAAAATCGAGGACAAAGGAGTGCAGGTGGCATTCATAACACAAAAGGTCTCCATACCAGGACTTGATTTATGTTAATGTCACTATCCACGATTATTTTATTTCACATGACCAGAATTCCTTTACTTATCCTAATGAATATAAAATGGCTTTTGCAAAGTATATATGAGCACCTAATTTACCATACTTTTAATGATCACATTTTCGGGATTAGATTACACTTAAACTAGCCATGACAAAAGCTGAATTCAAGTGTGCGAGACCGAATCATTACTGCCTCTTACGAAACCTAAACTGCAGTTACTTTTAGTGATGAAAACACAAAGCAAATCAGCACTTCATTAGTTGATTTGTGAAGTAAAACAATTGTGGATCAGGACCTTTTCAGCCTTGATTAGACCTGAAGGTTAATCAAGCCTTAGTAGCAAGACCCCCTGTACTCCTATCTACTACATCAAGGTGGACCACTACACGACATAGTCATGTCCAGTCAGATGATATCAGAACAGAGACACTCACTCAGCTGTCTCCTTGATGACAGAGTGGCGCTCCCATGCGCCTTGATGCCCTGAAAACAAAAGACACGATGACACATAGACCAACCAATTGAGATAAGAATAGAAAAAGAAGGGGGATGGAAAAGAAGAGGGATTTTTTGTTAGAATGGAAAACAGCAACAACGCTTTTCATTCTACGGGAATCATTAGCATCAATCAATTTGTCCCACAACGCTCTCTGACATGGTTGTTGGAATATATTTAGAAAATATGATAACTAGGAAATCCGCAGTCAGAGACCAACAGACATTCTCTATAACCTAAGCAAACGCATGTGAGCACTTCAAACCAGCTTTAAAAGGTTAACACCGATGCCCTCAGGTCAAAACTGCCATGTCATAACATGATAGCATTCATTCACTCTCTCATAGCAATGTGAAATATGGAGATCCAATATACTGAAGGACTGTGTACGATGCTTTGCATGAATGACAATGGTCTGGATAGACGGAAGAAAAAAAAGGTAGCTACAACACCTCAACAGCAGAGAAGTTTAGCAAACCAAAAACTACAAATACCATACCAATTAAAAAACTATGTGCTTCAAAGACCATGGAACAAGGACACCATTTATGTGCAACTATGTAAACCTTTTTTTTTTTTTTTTGTATTTACAGATACGTTATCAACCTAAATGTTGTTCCATATGGCAATGCTCTATATGTGTCAGTAAATGTTACAGTTTTAGAAATTTTAAACAAATACATGAGGAATGTCAGAGGATTCGTAAACACTTCAAATCTCTGTGAAGGTACCGAACGCTGAATGCAAATCAATGTTTACATGTGCATTTGTTAACATTCAGCTGCAGTAGAAATCTATTGTGAGGAGTCCAGCAGATGTACAGTATTTTGCTGATAGCATATTAATGAACGATATTAATGGATCCTTCAGATACAATTTGAGGGTCTGCTAAGGAGCTGCAGGTGGGCCACTTGAATATTTACTTCTTTGTAGTGCTAAAACCATTGTTACGTAACATTATGTTAACAACACTATGGACTTCAAATCAGGCTTTAATGGTGCTGGTAATTTGTTTGTCTTATCATAACAGACTCCAAATAGTAATTTTGTTCATACTATTTTACAGCATCAACATAGTATTAATCAGACTTTTTTGTTCAAGGGATATGTACAGCAGTTGTACAGTTTTATACCCCTCTTTTTTTCTTTTTGCTGCACCATGCAAAGGCAGAAGAAAATGGTGCTGGCAAACCACTTCATTTGTATAGACTTTGCACTGATGCGTTTGAATGTTTGAAAATGATCACTACAGGACTGTTAAACATACCTTGTGATAAAACCATGACTGCTTGCAAAGCAAAAAGATTTAAGCTGTCCAGCGTTCCTCTCGGAGAACGTCATTAACACTGTAACGTCGGGTAAAATTGCATGAGGAGAGAGGGTTAACAAGAGTTTGTGAGAAGCTTTAATACAGGATAGGTTGTGAGGAAGAGAGCGAATACAGGTTAAAAGAGGAACAGCAATAAAAAATATGATGGAAAGGAAGGGAATGCGAACAGAGTGGCATACAGGTGAAAGGCTGATTATGACGCAGAGAATGAAGAAAGTCGATCTGAGCTGATATCCAGCAATGAATGAAAAAAAGTCCCATAGAGATGATGATGGTAGAAAAAAAAGAGCAGTGCAATAGAAAAGAAATAAGCTGAGCAGAGGGGTAAGAAACAATAAGGATGACAGGAAAGGGAATGCAAGATAAGTTTTAGGGGGAGGGTAATGGTTTGATGGGCTCGTCAAGAAAGAAAGGTGGAAATATGAAGATGGACCAAGAAATCAAAGCAACCAAAACAGAACAAATCTGCATGTGCTGAAAGAAAACAAAAGGCAAGTGCATTTTTAGAGTTGAAGATGAAGACAACTGGAATACTGAAAAAATAGCACTGATGAAAAGGGGTGAAAGATGGAATGAAAATTAGACTAAGTGACATAAAGAGAAGAATGTAAAAATTCTATGTAGGGCAGAAAGCTGCATCTCATGCTCCACCTCTTTCGCTCTATCTTGCTTTCTTATTTCTATCCCAAGCAGCACCATTACTCAATAAGAACTAGGCAGTACAAAATGATCTAGTTTACAGGAATAGGAGAGGAAGACCTACATAGTCACACTCTGCCATGGACCCTACATCCCTCTTCTAAAACTAGCACAGATGCGAGGAGCATTAGTGACGCAGAACCATGTGATCTTGGCTAATTGTACATATTAACTCAGGGTTTCCAGCCACGAAAAAGATGCAGGAAGTTTGGATTAAAAAAACATAAGAACGTCGTGGGTCTTGCTGAACATGTTCTGTGTCACAACTGTACACAGAAGTAATAAGTGGACGTAAGTAGAGATGTGTTATACCAAAAGATTATTTTTCCCCCAGACTCACTGGATCAATAACTCTGGGACAGAACACCCCCAGAACAAAGTCTAAGAAAAATAATCAATGAATGTGAGGCTTTTGTTTCCACAAACACCGGGGTAGTCATTTTTACAATGATGAAAGGTGAGACATACTAATGATTTTTGCAGCACCTGAGGAGGACCTTTTATGGAGGTGTTTAACTGTGACAGAGCATCCACAGAGACTGAAAACAGAGTTCAAATCTTAAACATTTTTTTTAAAAAGCTGTTCAACTTTTTTTGCATGATGCTTAACTCAAAGAATGCAGGCAGTCAAAAGTAGCTGGTGCTTTCTACTGGATTCTTTTTCATGGCACAATTCAATCGAAAGATTGAAGATAGCAGGCAAAGTGTCCTCGGCAGGCAGCTTTTCACTACTCCACAGAGCTGAGTCATCCAGGCATATAATAGCAAAACAACTTATTTGTGTTTTTATCTAATCGAGTGTTCTCAGGAAGCGCTGAATTAATGCTGCATCAACTGTATCCCTGCAACATTATTGGAAAATAACTCATTTTGGTGAGAAAGCAAGAATGACAAACGTGTTACTTTTGGATCTTCGCGTCTGTTCGGCGTAAGGACCACACGAGGCCTGGTTCACATGGCAGTCCAACTCCTCTTAAAACTTACCGCTGTATGTCGCTGGGGTTAGTTTAAAGACGGTGACACCCAGACACCAAAAGAGAAATGGAATGTTGCCTTAAATAAAAACTCTCATGAGTCAGACTTTTTACACCATAAGGACCTCTGACCAGACTTTTTTCATTCCATTATTTTTCATTTAAAAAAAAAACAGAAGGTTTAACTCCATAAAAATATCTCCTTCATACCCTCACAGAAAGAATGAAAAAGACAATCTGCTCAAATGTTTCTGTATTCAAATATAATAGCACATGAGCATACAATAGATGACCCACAACTATCTCGCTGCTCCTCTCACTCTTTTCAGAGGGGGCAGAAGGGATTGGGAGAGGGGTGAAGTAAGGAAAAGAAAAGTAAAAGAAATGGGAGGCCATAAAGAAAAGTTGAACAAATCTAGCGAGTATATAAAATGACAGAAGAGTGAGTGAGATAGAGAGAGACAAAGTGAAAAGGCAACAAGAGTGAGCTCACCGCCAAGAGCTTTTCATTCCCCCTATAAAATGCTCCTTTTAAGAATGCCCATGAAATTAACTTGCTGAAAGAGAGCAATCTCAATCGATTCAGTCCTGCCTAAAAAAGAGCTTCAAATAGCCCACATACCTCCAGCTCTAAAGAGGCTCTATGGGATGTAAAAAAGTGCCTCTCCTTTTCTTTTTAACCCCCGTCTTTTTATATTCCTTTGTCAATTTTCCTTTCACCTCACCAGTCAAATCCACACTGGCCCTGTAACAGTCAGAGAAGTCTTTAAGCGTAGGGGGAAAAAAGGGGGTCAGTTTGAACTTTTCTTTTTGGCACACTCTGCACTGCCACTTCCAGGTGAATATCTGAGTCTTTTTTTGGGAGATTTCTTTACAGTATAGACATATTTACAAGCCAATGTATCCCAAACCCAAATTATTTCAACATGCAAGGTCTGAATTACTAAGACACAAAATCTTTTTGCACATATGAGCAGATAAATGTTTTTTCGTTTTCTCTATGTAAATGGTTGTAGACCCCACTATTGGAAAGGGGACATATTACATAAGTTACAATGCTTTGGCACATTCATTTTAGTTAACTCATTTGTCTCCGTCTGAATATCATGAACATTAATAACGCCACATACAATTCATGTCAAAATAGCTTTAGCTATGTTACAGTAACTTTCCCATAATGAACATGAAAGTGTATCTTCTAGGGTTAAGCCCCACAAAGCCCCACCCCAATTAAAGCTCTCTGTAGGCCTGAATTGACAACTGAAGGATGCAAAAGCCCTGTTAGAGCCTGCATAAATGCAAGAGGACAAATTCATTCATGACAGCTGTGACAAATATAACATAAGAAACAAATTAGTCCCCATGAAATGGAAATTCACGGGACTTTTCCTTTTTTTTTACTTAGCAGTCCTGCTAAAGTAGTTTTAAAAAGGAATTCTGCCAAAAGTTGGCCTCCCTCAAGCAATATTTCTGTGGGACAGAGTTTGGGCCAAGAGCAGTTCCTAGGACACAGTGTCCGATGCAGGGAAACCAGGGCAGATGTATCCCCGATGAATTCCTGGATGGTGAGAAGAGGAAAAGTCAGGAAAGAGGCAGAAGGGAAGAGAGAAAAGAGAAGAAAAGAATGCATCAAGCAAACTTGTTTACTCGCTACTATCAGCCAATAAAAGCAGGCGGGGGCAAAAGGAGAGGTGGATGAGAGAGTAGGAAACGCAAGAAAGCGTTCAATAATAGAGGGAGAATGAGTGAGGGAGAAAAAAATGAGGGATTATGGTCGACCCTGAGAAGTGGTAGAAGCAGTGGAAGTATTTGCCCCACTTGTAGACACACTTTTTGTCGCTCGCTGACTGTCCTTGATGCGGCGGGGTAGCTAACCTATATAGGCTTGCTCCATGCAACATCCCCCACATGCTCATGGACATACATGAGGACACATTTATTCTCTATCTCTTTCGAACACGCATGCATGCACACATGGGGGAGAGGTGAGGAGGGATGCTAAAATCAGGGCGCACATGCTGAAAGCTACCGCTGAGTCAAGTCACCTGTGCTACTAGCCTAGCTTGCTAGCGGGCAGCCAGCTGCTCCTCTAATTAAGAGCCCATCTTCTTGAGGGACCTGCAGATGGAGTCCTCAATAACTGGGTGTTGGTCTTATAAAAAAAAAAAAACAGCAAAGCCAGGAAACCATGGACAACTCCTTAAAACTGGCAGTACAGGTTAAGAAAGACAAGGTTACTTTGGTGAATTTTAAAATAATAGAATACATCCAACATATCTCAAGTAGTAAGTGCATTCAGGCGATGCATAAATCCTGGTCCGCAACTAGTTTAGAATGGACTTTTTCGGCATATCTGGGATGCTGATTTTGCCGATTTCCACCTGCAGCACAGGAAAGGCACTTAGTACCACTTCTTGGATTGAAATGATTGCTGTCCAATTAATTATACCACTTCACCACTGAGACGTGATCTAAATGATTGAATCTTCTCAGTTTAAATTTCCCATCACACTCAGGGAATGGCAGAAAGAGACAAAACATGTTTTTTATCTTTCTGTTGGGCTTGTTGAGGATAATCAATTTAATTGTGAGAAATTAGTTTTAATGAAATCCATTAGAAATAATTAGGATGAGAAGAAATGAGTGTGAGAGAAAACTTCAAAACCTGTAATCTCTTAGCACACAACTAATTCTGTCTCTGAGGTTGTTAGCAAGAGAGAGACATTTGGACAGTATGTGTTTACATATAATATGTCCACTATTAACAGTGTGACCATACTGATATTCAGGTTGAACTATATGAGGCATGAAACACATAAAGTGAAAAATACTGTCTAGGCATAAATACACATTTATGTCAAGCCACTTTGACATTTTCAGCATCATTTTCTCGACTGTCCAAGGCCAGGACTAATGGCTACTTAAATAAACAAGTGCTAACACAGACTGACAAATACACTGGCATGCATAGACATTTCCACACTAACTCATATCGCACATACTCTCCCACACCTTTGCTTACTTTAGCTTCCAGTACCAGCAAGCACTGCCTGTGATCATTCAGGCTGCATTAGATATGCATACAGTCAGTCGTACCAAATTAAGAAATTTAAACACACACATGTTATTGCAGTACTTTTTTTAAAAGGCAAGGGAAAAAAAAGTTGTGTACATAAGAGCATCAGTACCACGAATGATGATAGGCATGTTCAAATTACAGGAATCGGGGCTTTAACTTCACTCGGATGAAGCAACAAAGTGGCATTTTTAATGGGCACAGTAAGGAGCTGTGTTGTTTGCACCTGTTGTAATCACACACACAGAGGGACTGTCTCTAGCGATGCTGCACTGCTCTGCAATTTTAGAGTTTCACTGCATGCCTGTCTGTCTAACTCCCACCTGTTTGGAATTTAAGTGGATTGAGATTTTCCCAAAACAAAAATTCCTTGTATTCTATGACAAGTATTCTGACAGATCTAGATCACTTTTGTTTGCATTCCTCAAACAACTGACACGCGTAATCATTTGTCCAAATCATTTAACTCCTAGGGCGAACTAAACATAATTCTACATGTTTTACCCAACTGACAAAAAGATCCAGCAATTCAGCTGATCTCACCTTTTCTGCCATCTGGGAATGGGATTTGACATGTGGGTTTTCGTCTGATTGCCACACATTTTGCACCATAGATGCAACCCCACCAAATTTATAAGACAAACATTTAGCAGATCTGATCAGATGCTGTCACCACCAGGATATTGCAAAGCGAAAAATTAAATGATAATAAATCAACTAGAAAATTTCTAAAGAAATTTTAAAGGGGGGCCACCTACTGCTCATCCAGGAACCCGGGGCTGGCTTCCTGCCCCATCTTTCATGACCCGTTCAATGTTCGTTTATTTGGAAACGCCCAGACTTTTAAGAAAGTTTTGAACAAGCACGCGTCCCGTGGTCAGGTCGGATGCGCATGCCGATTTTGGGACGGTCCACGGAACCGTGCGCAACAAGTTACGCTCTGAAAATCGTGACGGAAACGGGAGAACTATAAGTGACAGCTGGCAGTGGCCCCCCTAATTATTCTGTTCTGTTAGAGCTCAATATTCCACAAAGTCTTCAGGTTTATGGTTTTACTTCATAAGCTCCCCTTCAATAAAAAGCATGAAAGAAGAATCATAACTATTGATTCAATTGTTTTATATGACACAATCTGGCTTTCCTGATGATTCCGTAGCAAATGGAGTAACTGCCTTGCATTATGTTTTTTTTTTTTTTTATGTGGGAGGGGGTAGTATTTTAAGTTACATAACTGAATGAACAGTTTGCCATACTTTCTGCAGTTGCAGTAGAAATAGAGGCTTTCTGACCTTTACACATGGAGCATCTGGCTTTTCTTCGCCTTAATTTAGAAATCTTGCATTCTCAACAAGCATTTACAGCTGGTCTCTCCTTTTTTCTGTCTTTTTGGTTTCTAGTGGCAAAATAATCATTTTCATTGTGTCTATACCCCAACAATTTCAAGCTTTATAGAGCATTTACTGAGTGAGAAACTTCACCTTTCACCAAAAACCTATTTCTGTGACGTCCAAATACGGCCTTCATTCTGCTCTTGACATTGTATAATTGAACTCAAACACCATCCTTTGTGTGTCTCTGTGGGTAAGTCTGCGCGTTGTGTGGATACTCTGCACCTATTTATTCGCACAATGGCAAAGCTTCTTCCTTTATAACAGTGAGCCTTGCCAACTTTATACACAACAGGATAAAAAGTACAAAAGAACCTTTGGAGCAGGGGAGAAGTGTTTGAAAGAAAGCAAACAGAGACAAAGAGACAGACCCCGAAACTCTGCTCCTGTTTCTGTTCCAGGCAGCCATTTTTAGACAGTCATCCATTAGGTCTGCTGCGCTCCCATACTGTCAGCCTTTAGAGAAGCCAAAGAGGCCATGTCAGCTGAGGGTGTTCATCAGGCAAGAAGCCACACAGCACTCTTTCTGAGCACTATGGGAATTTGGAGCAAGAAGGGGAGGAGCAAGTATTGGACTATAAAATGCAGCAAAACGTCTTTGTAAAGTGTAAGATGGATTAGAGATTTAGTTTGAATTGAAAAGATGCTCTTAGCAATATGGGAAGGAAACAAGAGAAGGGTGGAGACTTGGTCTCCTGCACTCAGGATAAAATGCTTTATTACAAATTGGATAAAAGAAGAAACAAACTTGAACATGAAACAAAGAGCAAAGGTGCTGATTACCGTGAAAGCTGAGCCTAAGTCAGTAACATGGAATCTGCGTCCGGTGTCCAAAAATGATGTGTGTAATGTTTGCTTGTGTGTTTTAGTCTGACAGGACTAAAGAGAGTGTGCATGTGTGTGTCGTCTATGACCATTTTACCTCATGCCCCATGTGTTCGGTCTGGGTTGTGCGATCAGTCATTTGGCAGTCTTTCATCTTCAGAGCAGCTTTGGCACTCTCCTGCACAGAACACAAACACACACCCATCAGCCGCGTCCATGTCTTACCAAAAAAACTTGCACGCCTTTAAATGAGAATTACCATCCTGGTGGACCTGTGCTCTGCCTCAACTGACCTGGTACCTGGTACAGCTGTATTGTTATGCTTTGGTACTTACCAAAATCAAAAATTGCAACCTGAAATAGGCTTAACCAGTTATTTCCAGAGGCCACTGAGCAGGGTTAAATGGCCTGAGAATGTTTCTATTTCCAAATATTGGAGTAGGGATCCTTTAAAAAGTACAAAAGCAGAGAGGAATTTATCACTAAAAAAAACGTAACAGCTACAGCTGGCTAACCTTCTGCAAAGGTCCTTCTACAAGATAATTAATAGCTCCCTTTGGCAGTTTTTTTTTTTACTGAAGTGTACTGAGAAGCTCTGGCCCTTTCCTTCAAAATGCAGGGCTTTTACCTTGACCAAGAACCTGCCAAATCTTCTGCCTTCTCTACGTGATCATTTTTGAAAACATGGGTTGCAAGCCCTTAGAGGAACCCAGCACCATTTCCACTGGGAGCACTTTACGACGATGTCACTAATCATTCTGACACGCTTTCCCTATATCGCTCATGGGCTAGAGGACAGGACGGGTAGAATGTTGAGGTGCCTGTGAAATATGGAGAAATGAATTAAACTTGATTGAAATTAATCAACCAAATTAAGACAAGGTGTAAGTATGCCTTTATAGAAAGGAGAATAAAAGAGAAGCCATTTATGTGGTGGCTCTAAACCCACATATGCTATCCTCTTTAAATTCAGCGAGTGAGGTCACAGACCGAGTTAAAAAGCTGTTTTCATTAATCACGACTGTCTACATGAAAAGCAAAGGAGGGCTTTTTCGAGCTAAATGTTGCAGTTGGAGCACCAGCCGAGAGAGAGGAGAACTCATAAAAAGTGACAGCTCGTGATGGCTGGCCAGCTAGAAGGTCTTTCTATGAGATAATTAATAGGTTTTCACTGGCGGATTTACAGACGGGGGCAGAATGACGGAAGCACTGGCTCTGAGCTGCCCTTTTCCTGAAACGGTGCACTTTAACTTTGCTGCAGCAGGACAAGTATTCCTTTAAGACTCACACACAACCACTCATCACACACGCACACAACTCTTATATAAGTGCACAGCTTCATAAATTTGAAGCAATTCCAATGACCTGTGTGCCAAGGGCAAATGGTGGAGACACAAATAAGGTTAAGCTGTTGCAACTCATATTGTACTTTTCATCAAAAAAGAACTATCACATAACATTAAACAAATTAAAATTAACTCCAGATGGCAATTGCAGAGCATCATTGTAAAAGAGAATACAATTTATATGCACACTTAAGAAAAAAGCAGAGATTAGTAATAAGAAAAGACGAGTGTAAATAAAATGTTAAAGGAATTCACATAATGACATAAAACGTACAACAGCAGTCCTGTTACCCCACTTTTCTGCCACTTAAGGGCCAGCTCAATGGCTGTAGACAGCAAAGAAAAACACCTCTAAAAAGGTGAAGACCTGTTGTGCACTCGGAAACATGAACAGCTTGGGTAAGAAGTTGTTTCTTTTATAAGACTCAAATTAATTTCTGCCATTCACAGAGGCAACAGGAACCCAGACAAAGAAATCTGGACTTAATTAGAGCACATTGTGTCAAGGATGTTTGACGTCTGTGGAAAATTAATCCAGACTAATACTAATAATAAAAATAAAATATAGTATCCAGCATCTACCATTGATATTCCATAAAAATCTATCCAACAGTACATATAAATATAAAGGTAAATAGAAATTCTGGCCCGACTTTAGTGTCTATACTCTGTTGACTCTTTAGCAGTTGGCAAATATCCCAGTTGTGACCTTACAGCCTTTGATTAAATGTAATATGTATTTGTAATACTCTCAATCTCATGAATAGCAGTCATCCTGGAAGTTTTGCCAGTCATTGGCTGTCTATTCAAGCCCTATCCACATGTGTAGATGGACCACTGATTTAGGTGCACACCCGCTAAATCCACTGACAGGCAACGAAAATGTGTGATGATTCATTCAACCGTCCATCCATCCATCAGCTATGACGCGTCCAATGACCACAGCTCATCGCAAAATCACCTAAATATAATACTAAGCATGAACGAAGAGAGCCGGAGACCATTTGTCGTTCATGGGCAGACCCCTTGTCTTCGTTTGATAAGAGTCTGTAAAAATATGAAGGAAAATGTGGTTGACAGTGGGGCAATACCACAAGCAAGGTGACACATATGATTTAGATCGGCGGTTTTCAAAGTGTGAGGCGCGCCTCCCCTGGGGGGCGCCAGAGCACCTTAGGGGAGGCGCGGTGCGAGGGAAAAAATAAACCGAAAAAGAAGCTATCTGCTTGGTGACTACTTATGTGAGAGAAAGAATGGACAAATTTTTAGTAAAGAAAAAGGCAGGGGAGACAAGCTCTGGCGTAAGTAGAAAAAAGAGGAAGTATGACCACGACTACTTAAATTTTGGATTTTCCTGGACTGCTCCCGATGATGCTCCAAGGCCGCAATGTGTAATCTGCAAGGAGGTTCTGGCTAATGATAGCATGAGACCCTGTAAGCTCCGGCGTCACATTGAAACAAAGCACCCAAGTTTAGTCACCAAGCCGCGGGAGTTTTTTGAGAGGAAGGTGAAGGAGCTGTGCACACAGAAAAAAACAATAGAGACGTTCAGTACTGTTAACGCTAAGGCAACCGAAGCATCTTATCGGGTGGCCTTACGCATTGCAAAGACGGGGAAACCCCACAACATCGGTGAAACTTTACTCCTTCCTGCTGCTAAGGACATGTGTTCAGTAATGATGGGAGAAGCTGCTGCCGCCAAACTGAATGTTATCCAGTTGTCTGACAACACCATCCAACGCCGAATCTCACATATGGGCGCAGATGTGCGGCAACAGGTAGTGGACAGTGTTCGTGAAAGCCCCTCCTTCTCCCTTCAGCTGGACGAGACGACTGATGTGGCCAACTGTGCTCAATTAATGGTGTACGTGCGTTATGTTAAAGAGCTAAATGTGCATGAGGAGTTTTTGTTTTGTCACCCTCTGCCCTCGCGCACTACAGCAGAAGAAATTTTCAAGGTTTTGAATGACTTCATGCGGGAAAATAATGTGGATTGGGGCCGCTGCTGTGGAATATGCACTGATGGAGCAAGGGCAATGACAGGCCGGCACAGTGGTCTGGTAAAAAAGGTGCAAGAGGTCGCCCCAGCTGCTATTTGGACGCACTGCATAATCCACCGTCAGGCCTTGGCAACTAAGAGGATGCCCCAAGAGCTGCGCACTGTGCTGGACGAGGCAGTAAAAATTGTTAATCTTATAAAGTCACGCGCCATGAATGCCCGTCTCTTCTCCATCCTCTGCAACGAGATGGGCGCGCACTTTAAACAGCTGCTTCTGCACTCGGAGGTCCGTTGGCTTTCCCGAGGAAAGGTTCTCACGCGCCTTTGTGATCTCCGTGAGGAAGTCCTTCTTTTCCTCGCTGAAATCAACACTCCACTGGTAAAACACATGGAGGACATGAAGTGGGTTGCAAAGCTTGCTTATCTTTCGGATGTCTTCGAAAAGATAAACACACTGAACATCTGTCTGCAGGGCAAAGAGTGCAACGTCTTTTACGCACACGATAAACTCTGTGGATTTAGAAAAAAGTTGGAACTGTGGGGTGCGCGTGTGGAGCGGGGATCAGTAGAAATGTTTCCCACCTTAGAGGATGTTTTGGCCAGAGCGGGGCTGAAGGTGGAGTTTTTACAGCAGGTGATCTGCGCGCACTTGGAGGGGATGCGCGAGCAGTTTGGAGAGTATTTTGGAGAGGAGACAATGGCAAACCAGTGGGTGAGAAACCCATTTTCCTTCCCCGTGACACACAAAGATGGACTTTCAGCAGGAGAGGAAGAGGCTCTGGCTGAGCTGAGCTGTGACATGGATTTGAAACAGAGGATGAGTGACGTGTCACTTGCGCACTTTTGGCTGTCAGTAGGGACTGAATTTCCACAGCTCTCCACGAAGGCAGTGAACGTGCTCATCCCCTTCACTTCAACTTATCTCTGCGAATGTGGGTTTTCCGCACTCGCAATGATAAAAAGCAAATACCGGTCAAGGCTGCTGGTTGAAGATGATCTGCGGTTATACCTCTCCACAGTGCAACCCCGCATTAACCGGATAACAACATCAAAAGCACAAGCACATTGTTCCCACTAAAACTAAGGTGAGCTGAACAGTAATGTTGCCAATGTGTTGCCATGTTCCCAATTTAGTTAAAATCATAAATAAAATGAGTTACACATGATTCAGGACCGTGATAGAAAAAGAAAGAGTGCGCATAGCGTGCGTAATTGTTTTTTCCTTTGTATGCCTCCGCTCTTTCATACAGCACGTTCTTTTAGCTCGAGATAAATTGTTTAGATGAGCCACAAAAAGAGCTCCACGATCTCACAACTGTTTAGGTTTTTGATTTATTTTTTAATTTCAAGGAAATGTGCAACATTTACAGATGTGTTCCAAAGATCTGATCAGAATGTTTTTGTTAAGATGTGAAAACACTGTTGGTATCTGAAACATTAAACTCAGAATCTCAGATGTAATGTTTGTTTGAGAAAACGGTTGAAAAATGAGTTTGGGGTTGTTCTTATCATTAGAAAAATGAAAAAAGGGCGTATTTGCCATACAAAAGCCCTGACAAAATAATAAAAATGGGAGGAAATGTTTTAAAATGTTCATGTGTTCAATTGTTCATGTGTTCAATTTCATTCAGATAAAGTGTCATTTTAAAAGATGAGTTGGTTCTAAAATAAAAGCAATTAGAAGGTGTTTTGTAGTGGCATTTGTTTGTGTGTGGGTTGATTGTTGGGGAGGGGGGGAGGGGGGGAGGCGCGGCAGGCATTATGCTCCATGGAGGGGGGCTCACCCTATCATACTTTGAAAACCCCTGATTTAGATAATAGCTTCATATTTCTTTAAATTTCTTTCACACCCGCTCAGGTGTTCAGACAGCCTCTCCAGGGGAGGAGTGCTAAGTATTTCATTTAAACACACAGAGCCGTATGGGACTCAAACTCAATTCATTTGGGTAACATGCATTTACTTGTAAGCAACAAACATTTTTCCAGATGGTTAAACTCTAATTTGTTCAAATCTATACACAATGGGGAAGGGAATCAATGAGTATTTATATTCAAAAGGAAAATTGAATTCATTTTCACTGAGATGAAATAGATCAGTCCCAAAACAATAGATACAGACAACCGAATGGCACCTTTACATTGTGAATGCTGATAGTAATGCATGTCATAGCAGCGCATGAGTTACTTGATAAGAAAGAAAAAGAGAGAGCCGACAGGTGCTTCTGACAGGAAGATGAGAGGGGTGATGGGAGGAGACTAAAGAATGAGAAAATATCAAATGCAAATGCCAGAAAGTGATTAAACAAACAGATGCCATATGATAATCAAAGCAGTGGGTCGTACTGGCAACCCTCACAATAACTCCATAACACTGGCACATTATTCTGCAAAGGCCTGGCATTATGACTGCATTCCATTACTTTGAAAGAGCAGGTGACAAATTACAGACATGTGGATGACAAATGATGAAAGATTTTGCTCTACTGAGCATTTCTGCAGATGTTCCATGAATCAGGCGTCAAAAAACACTGTAAAAATACAGACAAGATGATATATCTTTCGTTTAAATGTCGATATTTCACGAGTATGGTGACAGTGTTCAACTTGGAAATAATTCTTTGCTTCCCACCCTTGACAATAAAGGCAGTTTTCAAATTATGTTTATAAATAATACATATTGTTATGCTGGTCTGTACAAGAATTTTCTTTCCACAAAAACATGAAAAATATAGGTCCACTGCTGCCGCAATGTGGCACCGATGGAATAAAGCTCATCCTAACAACACCTCGTACCGCTTTAAGTTCAATCTCTGCTTCCCAGCATAGGCCTTACACACAGTAAAACTATGCAACAGGCTGGAAAACTAAAAAAATGCTGCTATAGGAAATTTTTACTAATCTGAAATGTCGTATTAATCTTTTAAACATATTTTTATTGTTTTAAAATGAGTGGAAGGCTTTGTGCCTCAAAGGTCTTTAATTTACACCTATTAAACTGATTATTTAAAAACTCTTGCAAAGTTTTTATTATTCATGTAAGGGTTCAGGGAAAGACCAAAAAGAGGTCATAAAATTAGACCATGAGTTGCTTCCGTGTAACCTCCACTCTGCAAAAAACAAAACGTTTTAAAAAGTATATATGAAGTTTTCAGTCTTAATCAGAAGTTTCTATCAGAAAGATGAAGCCAGTCTGCAAGTCAGGCCGGGGAACACGTCATGGAAAATACAGATATTCCTCTGCGTTACATCTGTAATCTAACAAAAGCCACAATTATCACATACAGTTCATAAGTGGATCTTACCAGTTCACTCTGGAGTCTCAGAATCAGCTCATCTTTCTCTCTCAGCTGCTGCAGCAAAGCTTCCTCTCTGCTGAGGTCCTAAACACAGGGAACAAGTCACCATGTTTATTTTCACACACAACACTGAAAGTTTTCATCTCAGGGGCCATATGCCCAGAAAATGAAGATAACAACATAAACTGGTGTTGCTTCGAACCATCAGTAAGAGTTAGTATGTTTGCAAGCATATTGTTTGTATTTATGAGTGCATTTGTTGGAGAGTGTGCATGTGTAATAAAGTTGTCATTTTGAGCATGCTGCGGGACTGTGTTCCTTTCCTGCCTCTTCATCTATGTGATAAACTTGTTGTGTCCTATAGCGGCACCCTCCAGCACAGACCACTTTAATATGACCTTGTGTTGTCAAGGGATATTACTGTAGGGATGATGGAGCTACACAGAAAGAGGGCATACAGTACAGAATAATAATGACACTAATAAAAATAACTTCATTCTTTCACGGGTACCCAAATGTCTGCAAGCCTCATCTTCACATGGTTTCGTAACGCAAAGGCGTCTTTCGGCGCAGACAACGAGATGCCACCCCAAGACGGCTGATGGGCATGTAAAAAGAAGCAAGATAAACTTTGCAACTTTCACTAAGCTCTTCATTGTAATTCAAAAATGGTAGAGCTGCAGCTGAAGAGCAACTAAGTGAGAGAAAGTGAGCAGTGAGGTGAGCGGGACAAAATATCAGACAGCCATTACCTCACCAAGGACATAAAAGCAGAGGAGAGAAGAGGGGCAAGATAACAGGAGGAAAATGAAGGGGGAAATGTACCAAAAGGGGGGGCGCTGACAGAGAGAAGGAGAGGACATAGAGGGCCTGAGGCTGAGCATGACGGTCTGAAACTACAGGGAGCGATCACGCTAAAGGACACGTTGAGAGTCAGAGACAGACCGCAGGGAACCATATAGCTACATGACCATCCTTTAAATGACCTCCCTGATGTAAAAACAGACAGTTGGCCTGACACCTTTCCTCTTGGTACATCATAATTCGGAGAAGTAAAAACGTAACCCGTGCAGAGCATGATTACAGTGCACCCGGGAGATCGTGTGGTCAGGGGGAAAAAGTGTTGAAAAGACCTGCTAATGCAACACATGGCCACACATTGAGAAGAGTCAATCCATCAGCACAGTAAAGGAAAACGTTAACGCACCTGCTGCTCATGATAGAGCGATCAATATCGTTGTGGAGACAGTAAATACCCCAAAGTGAATGAAGCAGAATCACTTAAAAGACAGCTATTTCATAGTCATGTAGAAAAAACTTGTTGAGCGTAGTTTGGAGAAGATAATTCACTTTACTCTCAAGACTAGTCTGGGCCCCTGTCTAGTCTAATTTGATTAAAATGAATCTCAGAAGACCAGTAGCTTATCGTGTAACTGTAATAAAACAGTCTTTTTGGGTGTTGTGCATCTGGAGGACAGTATCAAGGAAAAAGATGTGAAACAGTATCCTTAAAATGTGAGTTTTCCTTAATTGTAATGCTAAATTTGTTTCTTTCTTTGCTATATAAATAAAGCCAGCGAACACAAAGTGGTGGTCTGATACACCTGATTCCTGTCCTGTAATCCATGACTTACTAGGACAAATGTGAAGAACCAGCAGTCTTGCTCACAGTTTTAGTTGTATTGGTTGAGTCTACTTGGCTTTAGATTTTGATTCAGCTGAATCTGGCCCTGTTCATTATTTTTCTTTCTTGTAAGATTCTCAATAATCTTGACTTAAACAATGTTGTTGTACTGAATATGCTGCAATCCCAGTGAATGAGACTAAATAAGCAGCAGAAAATTATGCATTTTCCTCTTCTAATTGAAGAGTGCATACTCGCAAGATAGCGGTCAAAAAAGGAACATATTAAAAGCTTTCCTATCTGCTTCCATGGTGATAAAAACTATGAAATATATTTTCCACTTGATAATGGGAAAACAATTAGCAAAAACAAAACAAGTAGTGTTGAATCAGAATGTTTCTCTGACTTTACAGGGGAGATAACTTTATTTATAGATAATAAGGATATTTTTTCCTACTGCCAGAGCCCAGACACTTAAGCAAAACCAAACTGACAAGCATGAGGTTTGGATGAGACTGAAAAATCAGTAACTTGCTGTGACAATTACTACATTAGCCAGCCTCAAAATGCATCTCACCTGAATAGAAATGAAGGCTGCACTAAATGAGCTGGCTGGCTAACACAATACACTGCGAAAGTGACTTGCTTTACAGGTCAAAAGATAAAAAGTTTTACAATCAAGGTAAAGATGAAGGAAGAAAACAAGATGCTATGCACAGGGAACCTGACACGTGAATTTATGGACGTTGCTTTATCGCGCACTGCCCTGCAAAATAGCCTTTTTAAGAAGAAAAACGTCAACAAAACAAACATTTTAATCCGAAATTTTACCCTGCTGTTGAATGCCAAACGCTAAACAGCATCAAGCCTCCAATCAGGTGGCATTACAACCAATTCAGGTTTGCATTGAATGGAGCCACAATGGATGAGAAGTGGGGCATTAGAATGTATTTCTAATGTGATGGGGATGGCCTCAGAAGGGATATATCTGATCAAAACCAGTCGAGTGCAACCACTTTTGGTAAAGAGATGTGATGTTGAATAGAGGTTGAGGCCTCTTCATGCCTGCAATCAGTTACCAGCTGAAGGGGTACGGATTCATTTCCATTTTCCTAGCTGGCGAAAAGGATTTACTTTCTTCTGATTCGAGTTGAGGGTTGTTTATGCATTAATTCAACAACCATCCACTGTACCTCCATTTAGAATTTTTTTTGCAACATTCTAAAAATACCTTCTCTTTTTTTAATCTTCATACCAATTCTTTTACATTTACATTTGACAGTTGACTTTTTAAACCACAAGGGCAATTAACAGCAAGGGCAAGAGGGAATATCTCACTGTATTAAAGTTATCTATATAC